TATTTTAGGAAGTAGGAAATACAAAGTTTTTATACTTCCTGGCCCAGGAGTCCTGGGGGCTGCCTGGAGGCAGCATTGTTCAGAGGAGAGCACAGAGCTTTTGGAGCCAGACAGACTCAGTCCAAATCCTACCTCTGCTGCTCTGTCCCTTTGGAAAAAATTACTTAAAATGTCTGACCTTTGATACCTCATCTCTTCCACAAAAGCAATGGTTTTCTGTTATAGATTTACTGCAAGGGTTGAGTAATGAAATACATGTTACATGTTTAGCACTTAACAGGTTTCCAACAAATGTTCACGATTATTTTGAAATTTAGAGAGCTGCAAATACCTTCTCCTTTGTGTTCATAGTCTGTAAAATATCCTTTTAGGATGAGTCACAGAGCTGCTCTAGAGGTGGGAGGGGCTCCGGAAGGGAGATGAGAGGGGCCCAGGAGCCTTGTTGAAACTTGTGGACTCTTAGAATTTTGTCTTATTTTCCAATTAAAAAGTAAAAATTGGGTCATCATCTACTTTTTTTTAAATGGATGAAAGTGAAGTGGAACTAAGAGCAATGTTACGTAAGATACAGAAAATGTTTCTCTTTCTCTTTATCACTTTAAGCCAGTTGGTTTAATATTTATTCAGTTTGGCTGTATATATTTTATTTTATGTGCTAAACGTCTTGCTAAAAATAGTGAAACGCCTTATTGTTTCATCCACTAACAAGTCAGTGGTAGGGGGTGAGACAGGAGAGATCTGTAGGCAAATGCTGTCCTAGTACAATACTTGGCAGCTTAAACATTCACCTATTGTTTTAAAAATTCCATTTTCTACTGAACTTGTGCCAAATGCTTCCCAAATTTTGCTGATAAGAATATAAAAAGCACATGGCTGTTGCAATCATCAAGTGCAGATTAGATTACGTTTATTCCCCAAACACAACAAGCAACCTTAAACTTAGAATTCTGTTAATGTATCTAGACTGTTTTAGAAAATAAAAATTCCAGATCTTTCCCTGACCATCAGATTTGTAGCAGTTATAGTTTTTTGAAACAATATTATTCCAATTAGCAGGGGGAAAAGATTTGAAAGATGAGAGCTTGAATTTTGAACTAAGATCAGATGCCTGATCTTAATTAGGCATCAGTTTACTTACCAGAATAAACATTATTCATGAAGGGGAGGGAAAGGTGAGAGGAGAAATTAAATGGAGAGTTTATGAGGGGATGTCGTAGTACAAGGAAATGAGAGTTAGCTGTGAGAACTTCCATTCTCATCAATTAAAGAGAAGAGGAACCCGCAGCATTTAGGTTTTAAGTGTTGTCTTGGGAGATGGAACCATTTGGGTTAGGCTAAGGGCATAGGCGGTTAGCAAATTCAGGCCAAATGAGAAAAATGAACATGAGGAATAATTGCAGAATTAAGAGGAGGGCGACTTTTAGGATTTTAAATATATGGCTCAGTGATGTCATTGTGGTTAAGGGAATTATCCCTTCAATAACCTGCGTGGGTTCAGATCATAGCTCCACCAGTTGGTCGGGGTGTCCTAATGACGTGAAGGGTACCAGTCACTCCTGGCACGGAGCGAGTCCTCTGTAAAACGTCGTTGTTGACGATGGTGATGGTGATGATCGATACACTGCTCCACAGAAGAACGCGGCCCACATTGTGCAAATCAAAATAGAGTAATTTGGTACCATTTTCAAATCTGTGATCATCACCCAATTGACAGAATAGAGGAGAATACTAGATAAATTGTCAGTGGTATTATTTTTAATAGTATTAAACCAGAAAGGTCAGGTGCTAGAGAACACAAATTAGTAATCTAATTAAATCACCCTCGAAAGGGACAGACCGTGTTAACAGCAGTCAGATTTGTTATTACAGAGCAATTATGAGAGGGAAATATTGAAAGACGCTGTGTGTCTTTGCCAGGTTTTACACAGTTCATTTTACGCAGGCAGAGAAGTGTAGGTTAACCAGTTTGTTTGATAAGCCAAAAGCTCCTTTATTAAAATATGTTATCATTTGTATAAAGGGAGAAACACTGCTGAGGATCTTAAAAAATTCCCTGGCATACTGATCGACATTCATTTATGAAATTTCTTGCACGAGTCACTCTCATTGGGGCCGACTCCAGTGCCATGTGACCTAATTTGTGAAGTTAAATAACAGTTTCTAGTTTTGACATTTTGTACATTTCCTTAAATCACTCTCAAATGAAATGATTTCCATGTGGCACCAAACTATTATTTGTTTACATTTTATATTCAAAGGATGTAAATCTTTTGTGAAAGAGCAGAACTTTCGCAGGACCAGTGAACAGTTGCTTTGTTTTTTTCTTTTTTCTACTTGGTTTCTGACCTTCACAAAGATAGGAAACCTGTCTAGGCTCCTAAATATTGTGTTATTCCAACTGGACCCATCCCAGATTTCACAGACTTTTATACCCAGCCACTCGGGGTTTGTGCCCAGCTCTGTCGGGGTCACACGTGGAGACCTGAGGACAGAGTGAGTTACCGCAACCTCTCTGGGCCCCGGTGTCCTTGTAAACTAAGGATTAATAAATGCCTCATGGTTTGATTGTGAGGAATACATGCCTGCTTTTACATGAATAGCTATCACAGTACCTAGCAGGTCCTCGTTTTATTTTATTTTCGTGTATTTTTAAGGATAGCAGTCATTTGGTCTACCTCACTGAAGTACTAATATTTATTTGAGCTTGTCTATTTAAGAGTTCTTTGATAAATTGTTTATTTTTTGCTAGAATATTGGGAAAGAAATGGCTTTATGCACATATTCATATATATATGAAAGGAATTAGTGTCTTTCCTGTATTCATGTTTCAGGATTTAGGGTGTAGATTAGTATTTTGAATTAAAGTGTCCTACATGACTTTGATATGCCTCACTCTGTCTTTAGCTACGAATCTGTGAAGACAAAAATGTTTTGCTCTGGCTGGTGTGGCTCAGTTGGTTGGAGTGTCATCTCATGCACCAAAAGGTTGAGGGTTTGATCCCTGGTCAGGACACATATAAGAGGCAACTGATCAATGTTTCTCTCACACACTGATGATGTTTCTCTCTCTCTCTCCATTCCCCTCTCTCAAAATAATCAACAAAAACATAGCCTCAGGTGAGGATTAAAAAAAAAAGAAAAAAAAGAAAGAAAATTAGAGGAATTCACAATTAATTGGGGAACTGTTCATGGATCATGTAAAAATTCACCTCAATACCTCACAGTAAGTGCTGAAACATATATACACCCTATATCCTAAAACAGATGAATCTCAAGATGAGAATATTATAAAATGTCCTAGAGCCCTGGGGCTTTAAATTCAAAGCTCTTTCAATTATACCAAAAACAGACACTAATTCCTGCCACATATGTATAAGCTAATTGTTATGGGAGCATGGGGGAGGCGACACTGGCTTTGGGTTTTGAGGAAACAATAAGAGTTTAATGTGAGAAAACAAAACTACATTCAAAAAATACAAGGGACAACATTGATGGAGGCATAAAGACACGAGAGGCCATGAGGAAGACGGTGGGCTTCTTGAGTAACATATTGGGTGGACATCAATGCCATGATCTGTTTGGGAGCTGTTGTTGGATTTATAAGCAAGGACTGAGCAGAGATAAAAATCTTCCTGTCAAGACAAATGTAAGAGATAGTTACAAGAAAAGTGTTTTTGGTTGTTGGCGGGAGGACACCGAGTATTCATAATGATTGTCTTATTTTTAAATAGACTGCTACCAAAGGCCAAAGGTTTCGTACATAGCAGGAAAAACAATTAGTAAATGCAATAATAGTGCCTTGGTGTGCACTTCTGTTTTCAAGGTTAATTATTTGTTTAATTAAAGCCATCAGAATCAACCAGTGATGCTACTGCTAGAAATATTAGATGAACATGAGTGTCTTTGTCAGTGTAAGAATTGTGTGACCACTTTTTTAAATCTCTCAATGCGATTTAGCCTTTTCTTATTTGGAAGACCATATCACATTTGTATTATTTTCTCTTGCAATTGCTGATTATTTCTACAATTATAGCTGCATTTTACAATGGAGGGAATTGAGCCTTAAAGAAGTAAAGTGATATACCTAAGGTCCCATACCTAGAAAGTGGTGGAGCCACGATTTGTACACACACCATTCTGTATTCTTGAAAGATTGCTCTTGAGATATTATGAGATTAGTTTGGAAAGACAATGAATTCAAGGGGGGGAGAATGCTGTAGAGGCTATTGAAATTGTCAGGAATGAGAGGATGTCGGAGGAACAGAGAAACACATGTGATAGGGGCCATTGTAAAATTGAACCAAGAGCTTGTGGTGACTCAGTGGAGAGAATGAATGAGGTGTTGAAGATGATTTCTGAGGTCTAGTTGTTTTTTCTAGATTTCTCTACAATAGCAAATGCAAAGGAAGCATGGAGTTGGATGAAAATCATGACTTGTGTTTGGGGTTGAGTTTAGCAAATTAGACCGTTGTTGGCACTCTGCTCTGGAGCTCAAATAAAAGATTTAGGTTTAGTGATGATGTGGACATATTCTTCAGGTTTCCTTTAGTGATTGTTTTGGCTTTGGTCTCACATATATTGAGGGTCTCCCATATATTGAGGGTTTTTTTTAGTGTTTTTCTTGTTGTTGCTTTGCTACTTTGACAGAGAAGTAGAAGTAAGCTCATAATTTATGTAATGTGTCATTGCCATTCTAACGCATAACCCTATAATGTAGGCTTGGCCAGATATCCAGGAGGTAAAAATCAGTATGAGATTTTCCTGCTTCCATGTTTGATCTACACTGTGTTCGTGGTGTGCTGCTGATCATTTAGAATTCAGTCTAAGTTCACCCCTGTCTGGATTCATCTTGCTGACCACTACTCACTAGAATGTAAGGTGTGCCTGAGGCTCCCCTGAGCCCCGCAGGATGCTTATCTCATTGAAAGCCAAATTGAGGTTCCTGTGATACTGACTATGACTGCAGAGCTGATCACCTGTCACTCTGATGTTCTCTGCAGAATCTGCCTCTTTGGGAGCCAGGACTTGTGAGGATGACCTGACGGAGCAGCAGCTGAGAGCAACCTCAGGTAATTGGTCTGTTTCTTCTCAAAATTGTGTCTGCCTGTCCTTAATGAGTTACAGTTGCTACTCTCATCATTTATGTAATACATGGATCTTTGGAACTGCTCCATTTGGATCTGGTCAGATCCCTTATTCAAATGAGTTAACAGCAAAAGCAAATAGATCCATATATTTGGATGCACATGTAAAGTGACTTCTTAAAGAATGAGGAACATCTGCTGGGTAATTTCTCACATCTGCATTTATATGCTATGAAGTTTCACCAAAGTGGTCAGTTTTATACAAAGGATAAGCCAGTAAGCCAGATATTATTTTTACACAATTAAAACAACCTGGTTGGTGGAGTTATTTTTGGCAATTAATGGGTTGATTGGATTTTGTGTAGCCGTGTCAACACATTTACTATTCCCTATGCTTTGTGTGTGTATGTGTATGTTAAAAAATGGCAGCCAGGCCTTGTTAGCTGCATTATATTCAGATAATTTAAGAGGAAACTCACCCATGTTGCTACAACACACCTCATTTATTTCTGCTATATAAACATGATCCCAGTTCCCTGATTTATACAATTGGAATAATAATGTGTTATATAGAACAAAAAATGATTATAAAAAGTCCTTCGCATTCATAATGGGGTATTGAAATACTTTAAAAAACACACACAGTTTTGCAAGTGAAAACATTCCTGCAATATAAAGTCAGGATTTCCCTCTTTAAAAAATTATTCAGACTTTGCCTTCACCTATGCATGTCTCATGAAAACTTTTTTATTGTATATGCTATTTTTTCCTAGAAAACTAGACAGCATATTTAAGATAAAACAGCGTGAGCCCAATTTGCCTTCCCCATCTCAAATCAATGAAAATATTTCATGAATGACCTCATGGGAAATAATAAGGCAAAGTCAAGACTATGACAAAAAATGTGAAACTAAAAAGCTACCACTCCCTGTCAACACATTTCTTTATTGTTTTTGTTTACAAAATCTCCAGCTTCACCTCAGTCTCTCTGAGAAGCTATATGTTCCCATGCCTTTTGCATATTTCCATGGAGATATTCTACAGGGAAGTCAAATATAACCAATTCCAAATTGAACTTCTCTTTTCTGCAAAAACCATTTCTTCTCTTTTTCTCCATTTCACTTGATGACATCATGCCATAGACCTCATTACCCCAAGTAAGAAAGCTAGGAGTCATCAGCTTTGCTCAAAATATTCGTGCCGTGGACTATTGGGCATAAGTCATGTGTAAGATTTTTAGACAATATTTCTATACAAATAAATAAGTTGTTTTCAGATTGCAGTAAATGTGATCCAGGAAATAAAAGAGGTAATGCTCGAGCAGAGATTGTCAAGTGTGGTCCCCAGGAGGAGGGTGTGACAACATCTGTTGAGCAGACACAGATGTGACCACTGGATTTCACAGCATGGAAGTCATTGGAGGCTCTGAGAAGAGCAATTGGTGTGACGCCAGACTAGAAGGGTTGGACAGTGGATGCGATTTAGTAGAAAGAGAAAATGCAAGGACACCAAAGCAGACGAAACCAAACCAACAAATACTCCTTTTCAAGTTTCACCGAAGGGGAATAGAAGAATGGCAGAGTCTGGATGCCTCCTTTTCTCCTTCCAATTTTGCTTCCTAAGTTCAATGTGATGTTTCAGCTACCCCGTATTGCCCGCCTACTCTATTCCAGGCACTGTTCCAGGAGGACTACGGCGAAATAAGATAATCACTATTTTCAGCAAATGTGAGCTATTAAGGAAAATAGGCAGTACATGGATAATTTCCAAATACTGTGGTAATTTGTGTGAAATCCACGTACAGAAAAAAGAAGAAAATCTTACTCAGAAACATTAATCCCAGTTCAAGATTCAGGGAAGACTTTTTGGAGAAAGAAATAATTAATAGTACTAGTAATAACATGGCTAGCATTTTTAAATACTTATTTTGTGTTAAGCTCTGGGCTGACCGATTTTTATACATTGTCTTATAACAAACCTATGAGGTAGGCATTATTAATTCCATTTTTACAGATGATGAAACTGATATTTCCAAGTTGGGCTTGAAGGAAAAACAAACATTTATATACAGTAGAGAGAAGTTGTCCTAGAAAAGACGGGGAAACATAATGATATGTATAGGACGGTGGCATTAATAACAGTCACATGTTTCTAGAACAGTGGCTCATGAAATGTGATCCTTGCGCCAGGAGCAGCATCTTCACCTGGGAACACAGAGATGTAAGTTCATTGGCCTCCCTCTGAATCTACTGACTCAGAAACTCAGGGCGGGGCCCAGCAATCTGGTTTCTAAGAAGTCTTCCAGGTGATTCTGATGATGCAGTTTTTTAAAATATGTTTGTGTGATTTTAGAAAGAGAGGAAGGGAGAGGGAGAGAGAGAAAGAGAGAGAAACATCAACGTGATGTGAGAAACATTGATCGGTTGCCTCCTGCACGCACCCGGATGGGAGACTGAACCTGCAACCTGGGCTTGTGCCCTGACCGGGAATCGAACCTTCAACCTTTTGGTGCATGGGATGGCGTTCAACCAGCCGAGCCACACCAGTCAGGGTTGGTTTTTTTCTTTGTCTGTTTTTTAATATTAAGTGCTAGGTAGGAAGTGAAAGAAAAAATGAGACTGGAGTGGTAGACCAGGACCAGGTATCTCGGAGGTATTCTTGCCATGTACAGAAGATTGAACTTTCCCTTGTAGTGAGTCTCTAAATGATTTTAAGTAGGTTTAAGTAGATCATGCAGAGGATAGATTTGGAGGTTGGTGGTAGGACTGGACAGGGAGACAGTGCCGGAGGCTAGAGAAGAATTCTTATAAGCCAGGTGTTTTGAAGACATGCTCAGTATATAAACTAAAGATGTTCAAGTTACTGTCCTCTGCTGCTTCTTTACATGCTCACTCCTTGGGCTAAAAGGTGTGCAATGCTTTCCTTAGAAGACTCACAGGAGAGGGTTCCCAAGCCCGTTGTGTAAGGAAGCCATGGGGCCAGTGCAGTTGGCTGGGCTTAGGTCATCAGTTCATCACTGGAGGAGATGTGCTTCAGAATGTGTATTCTAATTCTCTAGAGTAAATTAATAGTGATTTTCTAATAGTTTTTATTCTTTAAATGAAAATACTCTAGTCATTCCAAACTTTTCTTTTAAATATAGTTTATACATGTACACACTAAATAGCTTGTAAGGCCATCATTTTAGCCACAGTAAAAATGCTAGGGGAAATGAATTGTACTGTACTTCTATAAGACTATAGTATTATTTCAGAACATTTAAAAATAAAAATGTGTTATCATTTGTCTGAAAACTGGAAAGTCCTACTCTTGTTTGTTTGTTTGTTTGTTTCTTACAAAGCATCTTACACTTTATGGCATTTTACAGGGGAAGAAACTGGTACTTGAAAGTTAGGACACAGCCACTCCTCCCGTAACCCCAAATCCAATGTACAGTTTTTCTAGGGAGAGTGGTTTCTCCACATTAATCTCCTGACTCTAAAGTCTATTTATAAAATGAATGTCAACTCTATTTCAGAAACTTTCCTTAAGAAGGAAAGCGAGCTTTTTACTTTTTTTCGGACTCATATGAAACTTTATGGTGGATATAAGTTACCCTTTCATTATTTTTTGCATGATTAAAAATTTGCAAAGTTCTATGGCTCCAAAGCGCCCACCTGTAATAAACAGCTCTCGCCTTCGAAACCACAAAACAGGTCTGAATTGCTTGAGCATTAGAGCTAATTGCCTGCCTACTTCAAAGGAAGAACCAGAAAAGGGGGCGGGAGGAATGTCCCAGAAGCAGAGGCCGTGCGGGCAAATCCACCTCCCGAGGTTGTGAGCTGTGGCTTGGACGAGCCGGGCGAAGTTGCGGCCTCGGGACTGCTGTTTGCGATTAAGCTGATGGCAGCCTCTCCACGCCGCTGACACGGGCTTTGTTCGCATTCAGATTTCTCAAACTGTTGCCAGGGTCAGGCGGAGGTCAGACACCGCCGTGATGTATAGGGGAGCATGTCTGGGAATTTCTCTCGCCCTTAAAACACATCCTAGCAAATGAAGAATCGGACCCGGGAAAACCGTCTGGTGAGCCCCGGGTTGCACTGTAGTTTTTCTTGGAGTGCTTTCATAATTTTGTTTCTCTCCTCCTGACACCCCATGTTTTATTAATGGGAGTTGCGATAGCCCTTACAATTTTATGTCCCCTCAAGATAAGGACACCGGCACCACGGTGACACTTCATTTTCCAGCCCTGGGGGAAAGGTTCAGTAAATCTCCTCAAAGAAGTCTGGCCTCCCTTCCCCAGGATGAGCCGGAAAGTAATTGCCGTGGGCCGTCACAGGTCGCGGCCTGCCACCGGATGTCACGTCACGTGTGTGGACTTGGCAGAGACTCGGCCCAAGCCGGCCACTGTCCCACGCAGCCTGGGTTTGGCCAGCAGTGATGACTGCTGGTGAAAGCAGGCTGGAGCCCTATGAGTGTCCATTCTCTCTTCCCAAAGTAAACCGTCCATGTGGGTTTGCTGGAAAGGGACACTCCCCCCAAACTCTCAGATGACCGACTTCTCCACAAGGACCTCCCCACTGCTTTTGTTCAGCAGCAGAGTGCAAACCTAGAACAAACGGACTCGTGTGGTGCCCCTGAGGACTCACAGCGGAAGCAAGCCCCGACTGCGAGGCTATCAGGTGTCCGTGCTTTCCGTCCGCTTTGCCCCCCGGAGCCCAGCCCCGTCCCGTGTCGTCTCCTGCTCTCACAGTAGCGGCGCGGGGCAGGCAGGGGAGACGCTCAATAGCATTTCGTGTGTGTGCTCAGCTGCTACACATGACGGTGGATATTTCATTCTGCTGTCAGAACGTTATTAATAAAACATGGGGTGTGGAGAGGGCCACGGTTCCCCCTTTCAATCACTATAGCATTTGCAATGAAAATTTTATGCAGTGTGTAATTTTCAGTTAATGCTTGACACTTAAAATGTCCATAGCAGCGTTTTGTATGGTTATTGAAGGGTTAATTGTATCCTGTTCTCGGCATAAAAGCTCCGCTTATCAAAAGCAAATAGACCCGTGTATGCATATGTGGCGATGACCTTTTGCCTTTCCAGGGTTAATTTATATGGTCATTAAAGATTTTATGAAATTGAGCAGCCCGGTGCTTCAAATCCCATTTTACCCCCTTCTCCTAATGTATGTAATTCCTACCTGAACAGGGGGATATGATTTTTATTTTTTTGTGCTGCCGTGAAAACAGCATGGCATGCTGTGGGGAGTTGCAAGTCTGGTTATCTGGCATTACTCAGATTGCTAAAAATTCATTAAAATGTGACATCAGCACAGTGAGAGACAAATGATCACAGGATGAAGAACAGTGGGCCTTTCACGGATTAGTGCTGCACAGACCCAGCGCAGAGGCTAACTGCATAAACAGATTAACCCACCGGCAGCGGCGTAGCTAAGATTTACGGAATAATTAAATAGGTTTGAGTTACTATGAGGATTTCCATGTAATCTAGCTGGTGTGAACCCGTGAATGAGGTGCGGGGTGATGTGGTTGTCATAGAAGAAATAGACCTTCTTATGTCCTACTCCTTGTAGAGCTCCCCCTATAGCAAAAACAAATCCCAGTGTAACTGAACTTTTGAGATCTTACTTTGGCAAATTCCAAAGAACTCCTCTGGGGTCCAGGGACTGGAGGCAGGAGTAACACCTGTCTTACAGTTCGACGGTCGTTACCATATTATGTCACGGAGAATTTTTTCTCGGAATTTAGTTTGTTCTGCCATCTACCCAAGTCCATGGAATGGGGGGTCCATGTAACAACAGGACTGCCTTACACTCGTTTTCCCAGCTTTCCTGCCTTCAACTATACTTAAAATGATTTCTTTTATTTTAATTCAGTACAGGCCCATGTTCTCAATGGATGTCAGAGAAGTTACTTGAGATAATTTGCATTGGTACCGTCATCAGGTTCTAGTATAACTTTTGAATAAATTTATGTTCTTTTTTTGAGAATGAATGTCTGCAGATGATTCATAAGTGGCCAACTTTTTAAATGGTCACATAGTTGTTTGAGTGCACATTTTTTTGGTGTGCGGGGGGATTTCAATCCTACTGACTGGTCTGCCTTTCTGAACAGAAGAACCAAGCGAGGAGGCGGAAGGACCTATTAAGGCTACAGCGGTCGCCGAGGAGGGTGAGAAAGACACGAAGGAGAGAGACCCCAGCGAAGGCAAAAACTCCAGCAAAGACCCCGGTAAGAGCCTAGAACCTCTCACCTTCCTTCCCCTACCCCCACTCCCCGAAAGAAGCCCTGCCTTCACCCCAGCCCCATGCTTATTAAAAGCTTTTATTCATTTTAAACTGTCTAACATTTCCAGTACTATTCGTTGCATGCGCACTTTGCATGTGACTTCTATCAGTAGCCTCCCATTGACCTATTTTTAATCATAACCATCTGACAGAATAGATGTGGATAAGTTGAAGAATATTACAGGACGACCAGCAAGATTATTTTTTAATCAAATCAGTTTGTGTGCTTGTAATTTTTTAAGCGCCTTTCATTAATCTTAGCTATACTTGTGATTCCTCTGATGGCATATTAATTTTTCATAAGCACAGGATTAGATATCCCTTGAAGTTTTTTGTTCAATCACAAGCACACCCCACCCCAATCACGTAACCCTAAAAATAAATGTTATTTTTTTCTCACTTTTTTTTTTTTTTTTTATAACTTACACTCAGGAATTTGCCCTTTTTAAGGGCATCTATTTGAGGCANACTTTTTTTTTTTTTTATAACTTACACTCAGGAATTTGCCCTTTTTAAGGGCATCTATTTGAGGCATTTCAAACGAAATCCAGTGAAAAAGTTTACAGATGATCCAGTCTAAGAAAGAGGAAATATCATTGAAAAGGGATTAGGTGCTGGGTAATTTTGATCTTCTAGAATAGACAAATCCCAGTAATGAAAGCTACTGTCTTTGAAAACAAACCTTCGTGTCGTGACATTTACTTGTGCACAAACAAACCCTAGGCCAGCATCTGGTATGGATACCTAAGGCTTTTCCTGTGTTTGATTTGGCAAATATATGACTTCATCCATACTTTGTATGTATGAGATGGAAATCTACGGTCGCGATGAATAAATATTACATTGGCTACTTTTGCTGTGCGCTATACCTAGTTTTATTATGTTGGACTCACTGAAGCAGAAGAACTGCTGAAACGGGTTCAAGCCTATTTGTTTCAGGTAGTCATCTATCTTTTCTTGGATTCTAGTGACAGCCTCATATAAAGAAGCTCGTTTTCACTATGAAGACATTGGGCTGTGCAAAAGAAGACCATTTTTATGTGCAAGTTCATTCAGACCCGAGTTATCCCCCATTTGCAACTCAGCCTTCGGCACGTCTTAGTTTTGCATTCCCTTCAAAAATAATCTGAAGGGCTGTTCCCACCTGGCACCGTTCAATGCCAAGTTGCTCTCGGAGTCCAGTGTTTCGAAAATGCCACTTCAGTTTGCGTTGAGGATGTCGTGGCAAACATGTGACCCTAATTTGACTTAAACAAAGAGGGTGTGAGGTTGTTCTGGAGCCCAAAGCAACATAAAAAAAGATGCTACAGCTATGTGTTAGTAACCCAGCTCCTGGGGCTACTGACAAGGAATTTGAGGTACCTAGCAATCGGTTAAGGTCAAGGGTAGTGCCATCACCTCTTCGAAAAGAGTTGGAAATAGCAAGGTAGTCAGTTCATTCACTCGCTAGGATGGACCTCGTCAAGGCTCCATCGAGGCCCCATCCACCTGCGTTTGGTGGCGTCTGTCTCGGTCATACCAACCGAGGTTGCACAGGACACCCCTCCCAGTCTTCCGAAGAATGTGTGAAACTCTCAAACAGCACATTGGTGTTCGCTGAGCGCCCCTGTAATCCTTATGCTTGGTTTTAAATACCTAACCCCCTATAAAGGACGGATTCTGGGAACCTCTTGAAAGTGGCTCCAAGCTTACATTGAGGAAACCCGCCGCAGACGCTGGCGCTCCGTCCCCACCAGCAACATTCATTTATTTGCATAAATAATGGGCTCATCACTCCCTAATGGCCTGATGAGTTATTGTCCCTTCTTAGGTGCCTAACTGTACCATCTAGACAGGACTAGAGCATAGGGAGGACACGGAGAGTTGCGTAACAGTCGTTGTTTAAAACAAGTTTTTATCTCTGCAGAAATGCCTCCCCAGGTTTCTCTAAAGGGTTAACATGAACTTTAAAACCATCTAAAAGCAGTTACCGAGCTGCAAATATTTAGCCTTGAAACCTCCCAGATTTCAAGACAGTTCTGGCTATTGACAACTGACATGAACCTTTAACAAAGTTTTCTGCCTCTAAATTGAATCTGATTAGGTGTAAAAATTATTACGTGGATTTTTTTCCCCTTGTAAATATTTCTAAGGGCTGAGTAACCACTTCTGTATATATTGTTTCTTCCTTGTGTCAGTTATAAATGTCAAAAAATACGAGCCAACTTATAAATTAATCACTATCTTAGTGTGGTAGATGGGAAAGCAGTGTGGCTCCACTTTAACACCGAATTTTTGAGACAGGAAGGAATTAACACATGTTAGAAACACCATGTTTGTGTAAGCTGTTGTGCGGAGTTGCAGACAGTAATCTCCAGGCCTGGGGCTTTCAAAATGAGACTCGGCAATATGCAAGTTGTGTTCGTTGAATATTCATTCATAATAGAAAAGCCTCCTAATGCCTCATTTATATTGTCATTTAAATCTAGTGCCACTTTAGATTAATTATAATCCAAATTACAGCTCTGTGCAGTACAAGAATTAATATAGAGTTTATCCAGATTAATACATTTGCATTGAAAATGTAATATGTCTCTGCCACGGCTAAGGGGACCACTTTTTAATAAGGGAGTAAACATGAGGAAAGATGGAAATTAACCTTCATTATTGCAATTAAAATTATCCTTTCTTTCCAGTCTCATTAGAAAGAATACTGTACTCGTAATTATAATTTAGAATTATTTGGAGTTGAATAACCTCTTCTGTTGTATTCAAGGTTTATAGGATTCAAATGTTATCTAACACACTGATTCCTAATAATATTTAAAAAACAACCCAGTGTTTTGTTTTATTGTTTTTTTTCAAGTTTTGCTTTGAGTACATATGTGTTATTGGATTTTACTCACTTGTTATGAGCATAAACCGTTTTCACAACCTTATGTATTTTAGGGGCTGAAAATTATCAAGTAGGCAGCATCTGAATTGAAATGAATTATTTCACTTTTGTATTGCAATCTCATGCAAGTTAAATAATCGCATAACTGACAGATAATCATTGGTTCGTCTGTTTGGCAGTGCTTATTTGTAATCAGACTTCATTTTTTAGTTTCAAGGTATTAAAGGACATTGTTTTTTGAGAATATTGTGATGTCCTTAATAACACAAAATGAATTATGATCTCACTTCAGAATTTTGTCTGGGGCATCAAACAGGGTTTATTTCAAATAAAGTTGCAGACATAACCTATGAGTAATCACAAAACTTAATCAAAACTCTCTAAAATTGTTTGACCCTTATTTAATATATTTCTAGAATAAAACAATTCAGAAGAAGACCTCAAAGTTGAGTCCTTGTCAGTCACCTGGGAGACCGTAGTACCTGAGACTGCACCCCTTTGAAAAGTAGAAAAGCACACAGGCATTAAATTTAATCTCCATCATTTTGCACATAAGCCCCATGGCCTGCCTGTCCTTCAGAGCCTGTCTCTGTCCTGCCCTGTCCCATCCCAGCATTCTCGCTGCTGCTCCTCAATGGCATGCATTTCCAGGGTGCCTAGATACAGCTGCGGGGGTCTAGCCTTTACTTATAACTTCTTAATGTAAAATAAAATGGTCTTTACACAGCTCCTAGCTTACATTAAGATCATGGTTTAATTAACTAAGTTAATTGGGCAAAAAATATTGAACTTGACACGGTAGTTGGAATACTCTGGCCAGCAGTTACAGCGATGGCTATGAAATGACTCTAAAACTTAACTCTCGTTTTCTTGATGCAGCACACATGTCGCTAAATTCAAAAGGAACTGCATTGTTAATGAATATTAATAAGCGTAAAAATAACGTTAATTATACCAAATATGTATACCCATCTATAGTACAGTTTTAGTAAAATGTTTCATAGCTTGAAATCAGTAATGTCTTTGGTCCTGTATAGTACCAATATTAGAACATAGATGCTTATGATAATAAGGCCATAGCTATACATTTAATAGATTTGAAAGTTTCTGGAAGGTTTATTCTATTTCTGATGTCCCAGGGGGCCTGCAAGCAACAAGAGTCACGGATATTCTCTTTTGACTTGCGTCTTTGATAGCATAGGGAACTGGACAAGCTTATAATTTGGTTACGTCTGATTCCACCACGTGCACAAAAACATGATAAGGGAATATGACAGTACTATTTCTTAAAGAAGCACATTCCTCCTTGTTAATGGGGAACTTTACTTTTTAAAAAAATCTTCCAATATCAAAAGAGAAAGCAACAGATAGACATTCCTGATGTAAATGACAATCATTTTATACAACTTGATCTGACATCTTAAGAATAGTTATTTTTAATACTTTAAATACAACGGTACAAAGTCTATTCTGCTTTGAGAAATAAAAACTGATTTTTTGATGCCAGAATTAATTATGAAATAAACATTCCTGTTTCTGACCTATCTTTGGATATCAAATACTTGGATTGTATTTAATTGATGTCATGAAATTCATCAGTTTCTCTCTCAAATTTAAGTTCATTCGAATATAAATGTGATCAATTCTTTTTTCAAATATCTAGAAGGAATCTAAATTTCTCCAAAGCATCTGTAGATATAGGGCAAATATACTAATTCAAATAAAACTAATGTTTGTAAATCTAGAAATCAGTGTAATTATTTGAAAACATAGCACTTATTCTGTGCCTACCATGATTGTCATTATGTCATTGAAATTCTACTTTAAAGGTCATGCTTACTTTTAAATTTCTTTCAGAATTCAAAATTTCTGAAAATGTTTATGTGGTTTAAACATGCATCTCCATCCAAGTTAGAAAAAAAGAATATTTTTTGGTTCATCTTTACTTTGTTTCTATAGCACCCTTGACCTTCTTTTTAAATTAAAACTGGGTTATTCTGCAATAAGGTGCAATTTGTTCATTTATATGAACCGTATGTGGATTGAAAAAAAATCAAGATAAATCTTCATGCACAGCATACAATCAGATTACGCCCAGACTCTATATTCACGCGGGGTCTGATAGCAATCAATGGTTTAGCTTCATTGCATTTCAACATGTATTTGCACCCAGTTGTCCAGTGATAGTATCCTCACCCTGGAAATAATTTAGTTGCAAATTGACTGGAAGATGGTGAAAATTGAAAGTTAAAATTAGAAATACTCATAATAAACAGCAGAAAAAAGGTCAGATGATGCCGTGCTATGATGAGATTGGAATGGCTGGTAAATGAGGTTTTGTGTTTGTCGTGAGATGCATGTGACATGCCTACCCAATGTCGCCATAATATCCAGCCTCGCAGAGGAGATTATCGGGAAAATTGATGCGGGAGAGAATTTTCTGTTAGATTGGGAAATTAGAATTACACTCTTCTCTTTGATGTGTGTGAGGCTCCTTACACATGACATTGCTCATCTAGGCAAAATTTTAAGCTCCCTTTAACACTGAATATTTGGATTAACCTCGTAAAACAGCCATCTTCTTGAGATTTGGACTTTAATGTTACACGTACGGCCAACCGTCCAAAGCAAAGAGTAAATCAGAAAAACAGCAGAAGACATGTAATGTATAGTTAATTTTTAAATCCCATTTTTACCACATCAAAATATTATCTTTGTTTCTGAACTATAGTTATCTCAGAATTTTGAAATATTTTCAGCGTTCAAGAATTTTAAAAAAGAGATAGGCAATTAAACATTAGTAAAAAATAATTATTTTTTAGGGTAGCATTTGTGAATGGGAGTAGAGTTGCTTTAATGTGATAAAGGCAGCCTGAGACACCAGCGAGCGCATGTTATTGATGAGTCTTTCAGGTCACCTAGGGTTATCTAAACATGAGACAGGAGTGCATTTTAAAATATATTTATAAAGTCCACTTGGTCGGTGGACACGAAGAGGTGTGCTTCTTGCCTTTTGACATTAGCATCATTTATAAGTGCTTGTCCAGTTCCTTTGTGACTTGGTGGATTTGGAGTCCGTGCTAGATGAAAAACATAGGATCTTTCAAGCTTGACGTTGTTAGTTTTTTGAAGTTGACACGTTCTGTTCTTTTGGGGGGGATCAGGAATAATCTCACCAGAAAAGGAGCTAAAAGTCAGTGTGGCGGGGGTGACCCAGCCACTCCTGCTGGCAAAGGAAGAAGATGTCACAGCGAAAAGATCAAAACTTACAGAGGACAATAAATTCTGTCACGAACAGGTAAATATGTCTTTCCCCCTTTGCTATATAAACTTACTATATTTATTTTACCGTATTTATTATTGCTCCTGGTGGTGTTAGAGCCCCCAACGATTCGAGTCCATGCTGTTGAAATGTAGACCTTGTGCNATTATATTTATTTTACCGTATTTATTATTGCTCCTGGTGGTGTTAGAGCCCCCAACGATTCGAGTCCATGCTGTTGAAATGTAGACCTTGTGCTTGGCAACAGATAAACCCTCAGTATTGCTTTCGATACCATGATGTCATCAGAATAACAATAACGTTCGCCCTGTTTATTGAATGTTTTCCAGTTCTATCAGTGTCCTTATTGTAACTACAATAGTAGGGACCAAAGTCGTATCCAGATGCACGTCCTGTCTCAGCACTCGGTGCAGCCGGTCATCTGCTGTCCCCTCTGCCAGGACGTCCTCAGCAACAAGATGCACCTGCAGCTGCACCTGACACATCTGCACAGCGTGTCTCCAGACTGCGTGGAGAAGCTGCTGATGACAGTAAGGACGCCACGTGTTCACGCGTGTGTGACATAGTCCCTGGAAAGGTAGCAACACAAACCCTGCAGTTATCGATCGATAGAAATTTATTTCTTCTTCGCAGCTTACAGCTGTCTCACTGACTGTGTTATGGGAATCCCAGCCCAAGGCCCGTGTGTTGTCTCTTTTGCTAGGAAAAGAAACAAATACGATACGGGTGTAGATCAGTCAGGAACGTATTTTACAGCCTCGCCTTTATATCTGTAATGTTAATCAGATGAGTCACGTGCACACGCTGGGTTTCAAACTTTCTTGAGTATCAGCATAAAGACACAGACCTACAAAAACATTTTTAAAAAAGAAAAGAATACAGCGTTGCGGGGGCATTGACCTGAAACTGGAAGGGGCAGCAGCGGCCTGTAAGAGCCACAGAATGCCCCTGCCTTGGTTGGAAAAATCTAAGTTGGATGCTACCGCCCTATGGCAGATGTGGCGGAGCCTGTGATTTCTGGGGTGCCCTTGACACGAACCCCTTTGGTCTTCACAGGTGCCTGTGCCTGATGTGATGATGCCAAACAGTTTGCTGCTCCCGGCAGCCGCTCCTGAGAAATCGGAGCGGGACACACCTGCAGCCGGCACCGCTGAGGGGCCTGGGAAGTATTCAGGTATTCCGGCCTGTGACCAGGTCTGCGGAAAACACGCCTGGGGGCTTGCATTTGTGTTAGGGCACCAAGATTATTACTACCAAAGAGTTACAACAAAGGCGCAGAGGAAGAAATACACTCCAAGAGCCATAGTTTTCAATGCATATTTAGTACCCGGCTGTCTGTCACTGCCCTTGGGGAAACCCAAGGGTCGAGGACCAAGAATACCCTGTGTCTTCTAATTCCTGACCACGGAGGGATGGCCTTTGGTGTCACACCACCTGCAGCATGCTATAATTGCCTTTGAAATCTTTTCCTCCGCATCCTTAAATTCCTTGAGGCCAGAGGCGATTCATGGTCATTCACCTTTGTATCCGCAGTGCCCGGCACAGTGCTTGCAACATAGCAGTTGCTCAATAAACACTTCTCCCGTGAATCAGTTAAGCGGAAGCCTGTAGAGGCTCCTCCTTACGATGTTTCTCGGCACACAGGCCGCCTTCCTGTCAGTGACCCGTGTGTGTGCTCTCCCACCAGGTGAAAGCCCGACGGATGACAAAAGCGTGGCAGGCCTGGACGATCCAAAGGCCAGCGTGGAAATAAAGAGCGAGGAGCAGAAGCCGGCCAAAGAGCCCACGGAAGTGTCCGAGTGGAACAGAAACGGCAGTAAGGACGCGAGGCTCCCCGACACCCTGCAGGACCAGCTCAGCGAGCAGCAGAAGAGGCAGCCGCCCTCGGTGTCCGACCGCCACGTGTACAAGTACCGCTGTGGCCACTGCAGCCTGGCTTTCAAGACGATGCAGAAGCTTCAGATCCATTCCCAGTACCACGCCATCCGGGCCGCCACCATGTGCAGCCTCTGCCAGCGTAGCTTCCGCACATTCCAGGCTTTAAAAAAACACTTGGAGGCCGGCCACCCCGAGCTGAGCGAGGCCGAGCTGCAGCAGCTCTTCGCCTCCCTGCCCCTGAACGGGGAGCTCTGGGCCGAGGGCGACGCCGCGGCCCAGGACGACCACGCCCTCGAGCAGGAGATGGAGCGGGAGTACGAGGCGGACCCCGAGGGCAAGGCGAGTCCCGTGGGCAGCGACGGCAGCTCTATTCCCGACGACGCGGGCTCCGAGCCGAAGCGGACCTTACCCTTCAGGAAAGGGCCAAACTTCACGATGGAGAAGTTCCTGGATCCGTCTCGCCCCTACAAGTGTACGGTGTGTAAAGAGTCGTTCACCCAAAAGAACATTCTCTTGGTCCATTATAATTCGGTTTCTCACCTGCATAAGCTGAAGAAGGTGCTGCAGGAAGCCTCCAGCCCCGTCCCCCAAGAAACCAGCGGCGGCACAGATAACAAACCCTACAAGTGCAGCATCTGCAACGTCGCCTACAGCCAAAGCTCGACCCTGGAAATTCACATGCGCTCGGTGCTGCACCAGACCAAGGCCAGGGCCGCCAAGCTGGAGCCCAGCGGCCACGGGGCCGGGGGCCACGGCGCGGCCGCGAGCGTGAGCAGCCCCGGCCCAGGGATGCTGGAGCCCATGAGCTTAGCGGCGGTCGGCGGCAAAGACACCCACTTAGATGCCAAAGAATTAAATAAAAAGCAGACCGCGGAGCTCATCCCTGCTCCGCCGGCGCACCACGCCCCGCAGTCACCAGCCCAGATGCAGCTGCAGCTGCAGCAGGAGCTCCAGCAGCAGGCCGCCTTCTTTCCGCCTCAGTTCCTGAACCCGGCCTTCCTGCCGCACTTCCCCGTGACCCCAGAAGCTCTGCTGCAGTTCCAGCAGCCGCAGTTCCTCTTTCCTTTCTACATCCCCGGGACGGAGTTCGGCCTGGGGCCCGAGCTGGGCCTGCCGGGCTCCGCGGCCTTCGGGATGCCCGGCATGACGGGCATGGCCGGGTCCTTGCTGGAGGACCTGAAGCAGCAGATTCAGAGCCAGCACCACGTCGGCCAGACCCAGCTGCAGATCCTGCAGCAGCAGGCGCAGCAGTTCCAGGCGGCGCAGC